TCAAGGTAATTTTAGACAGAATGAACGTGGTGAGCAAGCGTAAACCAATGGAAAAGGAGCTTAGTGAGAGAATGGAAATAACAAGGATGAGCCAGTGAGATGGACTGTTGCAAATAGTGTGTATACTCTATAAATATGCGAGCGTAGTTTTAAAAACGACTTCGTGATCGCGGCCGTCTTCTTGCTTCACGGAGGGCTAGACGACACGGCCGATGAAGAGATTTAAGTCTATAGAAACCAGCATGTGAGTAACAAACCAAGTTGTATGGTAAAATATCTTTCATATAAACGCAAAGCAACAAAAAATCCCTAGTCAGTTGTAGGGTAAGGTTCCACATCAAAATCGCAGTACTCGATTAAAAACTGTGCATTTAAAACAGGTAGCAAATAGCTTCGTCTCCGACACAGTGTGATGTACGTCAGAATAACGATTTGGCGGCGTCCGCATCCGGATTTGCTTGTCACTGTGACGTCCATGGGGACAGTCACAGGACGCCTGCGCCTACAGAGGGCCATTGGGGGGCTTGCGCTGCAGCACCCACAGTTCCACCCACACACCCCATATCCGGTGTAAACCCGAAGGAATAAGACCGGGAGGCATGTGGATGGGAGCCACGTTTCATCAAAGGAGCCGGCCCACACTCCTTCAACAAGCAGAACAGAAATATTCCGGCCTAATTGGGAAATCATGCACACCAGACGTACACATGGCGGTGGCTGGACCGTAGCCCGTTCCACACAGTATGGGACCACTCTTTGAGCCTAGCACCGTCACGAGGACGGTGCGCTCTGTCCCCTTCAGCGACAACCAACTGTCTCCTGGAGCCAGTATGGACGAGGTAGTGGGTAATAGACAGGTAGGCACCTTGTCAACATTCACATCAGGCGCATCCACACCGGGGAGCTCAAACAACATCTACTTCTGAAATGCAAGATTACTCAGCACACAAGCAAACGTACCACATACGCCGCCTTATTGGCCTGGATTAGTAAATTGAATGGGAACATACTCATGGTGCTTCTATTCCACATACTATAGTGCCTTCTCCGGCACCTGAGAAACCGCCCTTTGGAGCAGTACACGGAATTCGCATCGATCAAATTTGCCTTAGATTGGCAACACCTGAAATCAACATGAGTCTGTCATAAACTCACCTTCATGTTCTGGTAATATTATTTTCGGTCTGCTCGAATGTCGTTCTATTGCACTAAGTTAACCGTACAAAAGCGGTATGAAGATCCTCGTGGAATTCATTCGATATACATTCGGTATACATAGATTGGCGTCATCTGTGTACAATGGCAGTTCGAATGCAACATATGTACATGCGTTTATCCAAACTCAAGTGTGAGCTGTCACAAACTGCATAGAGGCACATTAGACATCATCATCAATGATATGACAAACGTGTATGGGTTTCGTTTGGAGGTCAGGCTAACAACCACTTTTGCAGGTATGAGAATAACTACCCCATACGAACTGTTGATGTTTTCTTCTACCTTTAGACTTGACTGCCTTAAATTTTGGGCATCCATACTTGAAGGAATCCGATGTGGCAATAGTAAAGCAACTGCTAGGTAGAATGATGACTAGACTATTGGTACAGTGAAATAGTGTGCACTTAGGTGTTGCCATCTACATGTACAGTCTGGTTTGAGTAGCTGATGGGGGAGATCACACAGCATGCGAATGCGATACAGTGTCCACTTCTGGCTCTCTGTGTCTCCGACCGGTTCGGTCATCTGCTGCCCGAGGTATGTGCACCTACTCAAAGAACGATTGATGCGCAACCTTTGGTATTGACAGGTGACATCAACGAAGTCCCGTTGCCTACTGTCAAACATGCGACTTTCCAAACATTGTTCGCATTTATTGTGCAAATGTCCAAGTACTTAACCGTTTGTACCTATCGACCTGTACTCTACTGTGGCCATAAGCTATTTGCTAACGATCTATATCGTACGTTTCGGGTGTAACCATTCGGTGCTCATAAAACTATTGTCGCTATGCGCCGATTCATTTCCGATGTAATATACTAACACACTGACGTACCATTCCCGTTAGAGGCAACATTTTACTTAATCCATCCAAAAGATTGGCCGTGTGCAATGCAACTTCTGGTAAGCGTCTCTGCACGTCTGCCTTCCATCGGGTTAGTACGTGTGTTTTCATAGGCCCCGGTAAATTCAGTATGGCTGAGGGACAATTGGAATTATAACTACACTCACTCTCATCACTAGCCTGCGGAGTGGAACATGAAATGGCGACATCGTGATAATCGCTAGTCGGTTAATTGTCGGGATTGTTCACTTGACACAGAATTTCCAGGGAAATTTCTTTTCGAATGCATAATCCAATGTGGTCACACGAGGGACAATCGTTGAGCATTGTGTTCCAAAGGTCAAACTTGACACTTTATGCGTACTGTAAGCCGCCAAGCGATGATAACCTTATGATTCAAACGTATCCATCGAACTGGAAACATACACAATAATTTGCCACCCTAGCATTGATTCGTAGCAAGCACATAAATCGTTCGGAAACACCGCGCGCACGTCAAGTACGAATGAGCTCATGGATGGACTTGTTGTGACGCCCAGTACGGCTTTACCCCACAACCGCAAGAAGAAGTCCAAGATGAGCCGGGATGAACAGATTTTCTATTACAGCACGGCACCAGTTATATAGCTTTACAAACAAGGGCGAATCCAAGCTACTAAACGCATGAGATCCAACAGGCATGGAGAAAACACAAAATGGAACAAGCAAATGAGAATCGCGAAAATTACGAGCCAATGAAGTGCGGCAAAGAAAATAGTGTCTGTGGAGTTAATCCCTGGGAGTAACCTTTTGGTGAGCGACCATTAAAAACGACGAGTAGCGTCCAATCAGTGTGGAGAAGTGATGCGTTTAAACAAATGCCAGAACAGTTGATAGTGAGAATGATACAAACCAGGAAAATAAAAACAGGTATAATAAATATGTGTCGGCTGAATAATACATCCACGTGAAAAAGCTAAGGAACGCTGAGCAAAAGAAACCAATCAGAATGTCCACAGAATGAGACGGCTGAAATTAGCTGTGAGCGATTGCGAATGAGGCTGAGGAAAGCGGCGTGTCCAAAATGTAGCAGAGAAGCAGGTAACTGCGCAAACAAAGAAATAGGCAACTAACATAATTCATGAAACTGAGGGTTAAGTAGCCAGCTCCCTAACAGGACTGAACCATTATTCTGCGATGCACCGGCTCTCTAAGCGTCATGCTAGTTAGCATTGAGCAGCTGGTCAAGCTACGGTTATGGTGAGTAATATCACGGAGCTTACATAGTGATGTGAATCGCGGCTGAATAATAATACGAAGAGGAAGATGCCGTAGCTCACTGTCTCGGTATGTAACCATACTAGACTCCGTTGAGAAAGTAGCAAGAATAGAATAGCATAGGTCATGATGAGTACAATATCGCAATGTGCAACATGTGAAGTGATCGCGAAATACAACCGTTAAATAAGCCTTAAAATGTTAGGTTACCTGTGGCTCATCCGTTCTAGGCATGTGCAATAAGGATACCACATTGCACCAAGTCAGTAGTTAATCATTCTAGAATGAAAATGTACCCAAACGCGACTTACATGTGGGATATAGAATATAGATGACACAAAGAAAATGACATAGATGGAGTAAGTAACTTTTCAAGTTAGCAGGGAAATAGTGCGATTATGTCCACTGCAGGCAATCCGTGTCGTAAGTTAAAACCAGAGCCCGTTATAATCGTCCCTTGTCCGAGGTGAGCGAGAGTCAAAAGGGATGTAGAACCACCAATCAGTCCGTCATGTGTTACCATTTATTTCCCCCTGGTCATTCGTTCTGACCGCTAGCATATCTCCACCAATTCACCAGTGTATAGAATGCTACCTGTACCCAAACATTTCGATTTGGATGTCACAACGTATTGCCGCTGTTCCGGAATCAACCTTGATGACTTGTCTGAATCTCAGTGCGTTTATCTGAAGGCGGCAGCAGTACAAGGGGGCGTATAGAGACACTTGAGATGGGATACACTGACCTCATATTGCAACCCCTAATAAGTCACGGTGTCACACGGGAAGAAATGTAATAAGATCCATCTGTCAAGTGGGAATGTATCAAGACACGAACAGATGTTAGCGGGATTTGTACTTTAGGCGAGCCCCAGCAGATGATGGTGTTACTCGAGTGAAAATGCCATCAGTCTGTCAGGCTGGAGTGTGGTGTTTATAAGTGCTTCTAAATGGCTTCCACTTAGTCATTCAACGTGAGATATCAGCTGACATACCAAAGGTCTCTGGTTCGAGTTATAGTACTGCAGTGTTGTGAACGGGCATTTGTTCACACTTGCGTATGGACTACCACAAACTGGATGGAAAAACAATAACCCACATGAACCATAACACTATGTACGTGCATGAGTTTGGATTGAATGAAAGAATAACAGCCATATTCCTTTAGTTTTAGAAAATCGCACGTAGAATTATAAGTAACCACTACGACTGTCAGTGGTTAGTTAGCGTTTGGATTTTAACCTAAACGGCAGCCTTAAGTTTAGTCAGAAGTGTGGGTATCAACAATAGATTGAGACAGGTATGGAAATACGGAAGCAAATGCCGTGAGTATGGTTACCAGGTAGAATGATGCACAACTAAATGTACCGTAAAACACAGATGACTTATGGTTCCTGTGTATTGTACATGCTGTCTTGCTATAAGCGTTAATAGATGATAATATCATACAATAACGTACTACCTATCATCAAAGTTTAGTGGCAAGGAACTTGCCAGACGGCCTGCGCAAAACCCAACCACATCAATCGAGCTATTGAGCCTGATGGAGCTCATTAAGCAAACACCTATTTACGACATTCATTTCTGGGGGAACAGTTATTGATAGAACCGGCTGTCAAACTGGAATCCAAAATGGAGTGGAACAATAGCAGAAGTATGAAACGGGAAAACTGAAAACTCACCAAAATGCAACCCAAGACAGGATGAGGAACGTTCGCCGCACGCGTTGTGACAGAGATGAGAATTCTGAACTAATCCTTATGGAAGCCTCCGAGGATTCAGAACTGAGTGAGATAGCAAACTGCACCAAGTGTTCCAACAAATTAAACAGAGTTGACTCAAATTTCACCAAGTTTTGTGGTTCTCTTTGGGTCAAACACAGCAGGGCGGTAAGACCCGCTTCGGCGACAACATTTGACTTCATAAGGCACGCTGTCCCCCGTGAGGTGGAACTATGGAGTCCAGATAGACCATGACGAGCCAAGCGAATTACAATTTCCTGTCGTTGAATTGTAGTGCACGAACTAGCGCAAAAAGAGTGCACATATAATAACAAGCACAACCTGCGGATGGACGCAGTTGGCGCAGAAGCGCCGAACCTTGTGGTTATGAGTACGTAATCAATAAAGTGTAAAAAGGGAGTGAAAAGACAATTTTCTTCCGACATCAATAAGTACCCATGACGAGTGAAAAATTCTTTTACAAGCCTATGTTGAAGTGACTCAGGAAACAGTCTCCCATTCAGTACTAAGCGCCTTAGTAGCACTACAGCTTCCTTCTGCAGACGAGTTAGTTGAGTTGCCTCACTCGAAGAGCCTTGTAGCATGAAGCAGCCAGTTTTGGTCACCTGTGATAAGTTCTTGGACCCGCTGACATTTGCATCGGCAACGCTGTAGATCACACAAAGAACCAGAAAGTCCTGAACCGCTTGATAATGGAATAATTTCAAATCATTTTCAGATGGACTGGATTCAGTGATGGTGGAGGTGTTGATTGATCGCATCCATCTAAAAAAGGCAAGAAAGAATGTAAGTGCTTGCAAGTGCATGAAAAGTGGGATAGGTTGGAAATATTCACAACAAGTGCGCGGTAGACTAAAAGAGTACGGAGTGACGCAGAGTAGTCGTATCTATGTCTTCAACAATTACCGGTGTATGCGCGAATGACGAAACGTAAGGGGAAAGCGACCCAACGCTCATGCCATAGAGGTATCGTAGATAAGTCCATGTATCTGTGGGTTTCTCAGAATGTGATCGGACCACTCTCTAAAAATGATCAAATAACGAGCATGCTTGATCTGAAGAGCTAACTTCCCTGATAGTTGAAGCCGCAATGGTAACTGGAGGAGGAATATACAGTTGATAACAGCTAGTATAGACATTCCGAACTACCGTTTGTGAATCTTATACTTCACCATCAATACCACCGATGTCCCACGAACACACAGAAGTAGCCGATCCTATCGACCATCGAGGTAAGTCTCAAACGATGACCAGTGAGGACGCATAGGGATACTCATAAAGAAAATTAAAAAAATAGTCGCTGGAGAAAAGGCGCAAGCGGAACAAAATAAAAAGCAGCGCTAAATTTTCCGAGGATTTCATACAAAGTATACGACATTAGCAAAAGCAGTAAATCAGTGATCTGCATTAGCACTCCACTGACGCAGGATCACAGTGACCACTCGAGGGAGTATCCAATAGGGTCTCAATGGTTGGTGGCTGTCAACTGCCATCCATCTCATTAAAAGAGAGGTAAGAAAAAACCGTGTGGAAATCAGCTTAGCGTCATATCCATTGGATGGAAATCGCTCGCACAAACCTTATTGCACCGCGAAAATAAGCCCACTAAAAGTCAGGTTGGATTCCGCAACAGTGAGGTGATCAGTTCACTTACCAAATGTATCACAAAATCACTTTTAATCGGCGTAGAATGACGACAGATTGTGCCTACGCGTTCGTTAGTTGAAAATCGCGACAAGTATTCAGTTGGGAACTACAAGGTGTTTTATTAATCATGTCCAAAGCTAGAAGGGCAATAGTTACATTCATGACTAAATTGGTGTGCGGTCTAATGATGCCACAGTGCGTCGGGGCAAACTGAAACCTAAGAGCATTGTCATGTCAAATCAAATCAGTGATTCGTTTTTATGCACACAAACGGTGAATGTTCAGCTGTGACACACGCGATCGAAACAGTTAACCGAACAACATTGTAACCTTACAATGTGCTCCCGGCAGTATGGTTCCCTTTAGCAGCGAAAGTAGCCTAATAAAAGCTTACGGGTTTGTCGGAGGCCAGTCATGATGGGATAACAGCTTTTGTGGCGATAGAAATACGGCGCCCATCAACCAGTTATCACATACGGCCAGGCTGTTTTTATCAATTGCTAGCACAACGATCCACTAACCGCTTCGCTGGGAACCCTTTTGCTGGCTTATTCACCTGCGTGAAGGCCGACTTCCGATCGATCCAAGCATGAGACGTTCAGTGCGGCTATGGTGTCTGGCTCACGTCCAGTTCTCACAACCGAACGGCGTGCGTTCCCTTAGTCTTGCCCTGCGATCCACGCGGCTGGGGTGTTTGCTAACGTTCACTTCTCACATCCGAACGGCTCAGTGTGCTCTACGATCGTAGACACACATGTCGCGCCTCTGTGCCCCATCTCATCCCTGCTGGCGAATCAATTTGCGCCATTAAACAGTCAGCAACTCAGCGTACCGGGATACCTCAGCACCTGAGTGCAGCCGCTCCTAGCTTCGGACAGGATTAATAAAACACCCTGTACACTCGATGCATAGGTAAGAGGTAAATAACATGAAATTTACCGTTGACAAAAGCATGTCTAAGTAAAAATATAGGGCTATGGAGTCCACAACTAGGCCCGTGGGTCACAAGCCTGTTTTGTAAACCGAGGGCGCGGGTTTGAACCTGCTTGCTGGACCGGGCAACCCTCGCAGTACTCCTAGCACACATGCGACTGTTGGTGGTTGGGCGGCAGCGAAGTGTCGGTACTGCGTAGCGGCGTGCTGTTGGTAGCTTCTTCCAAAACTAAAGAACTGTCACGGGGCAGTTGTAGGAGTGATAAGCCGCAAACAAGGATGAATTGCTGCAACAATAGAAACGGAGGTAGAATTTCGCAGGATACAACACATGAATGGTAGAGACAAAAGCGACTTACTCATTCATGAAATTCTTGTTAAATTGGAATGTAAGGCGCAGTAATTGAACCAAATTACGTTCGATAGAAGTCTTGAGAGAGAGATTCGTGAGATTTTTTGGAAACGAAAAACAAGCTCGCAGGCGTTTAGCAAATAGGGATAGCGCAGTGGGTTCGCGTGTAGATGTGGGAGCATCAATGATCAGACACCGGATGATTGTAGGAAGGTAAGTATGGAATGTCTGCTCACCATAGCACCGATTGAGCAAACCAAGGCAGGCATCCTGCAACTGAGTGAGGAGGGCCGTGTCCGTGGAAAAAGTAGTCAGACACTCAATGAGGCAATTGGTTGGATCAGGACCCTCTGCATAAGATGTCGGCGGCTGAGATGGAACTGTAGGCAACAGGTCAAGCAGCTGCAGAAAAAGAGCATTACGATCTTCGTCCGAAGATGCACTGTTAGAAGGTGAGGATGCCAAATCGGGCAAAATCGTTAAAATCAAAGCTTGCACGTCCGAATCAGGTACAACTTGAAACAGTTGCAGCATTCGCGTCGCTGTATCCTGAAAAGTGTGTTTGCTATTAAACATCGCGTTCAGACCAACGGGTTGACGAAATTGTTGAAGCAACCGTTGGGAATGGACAGATGAGCATGCCACCAGTTCCAGGATTAAGTCGGTTAACTGTGAAGAAATGGATGGGACACATAGGAGCAACTGGAAGATGCTTGCAGGCACCCCAAATAGAATCAATACATCGTCTTCCGGGATATCAGATGAATTTGGAGATTTATCTGTCATTAGAGGAGTGAGTAGATCGATGAAAGTAGAGAATGTAGAGTCAAAATTTTCAGTGGAATGAGCTGATAAAGCTCGCAGCTCTTGAATGAGTGCGTCGCGCTTGTAATCCGCTTCCTTCAGCAGTTGCTCTGCCGCGTTGTAACGAAGACGTGAGGTGTGGACTACAGACCAAGGCGTGCGATTCTTATCATTGTCTTGAACATGGTAGTCAGGTGATAACACATCGAAGAAAAACTGGCTCGACTCATGGCAACGTGAAATGCACATAGTTTGCAAGATTTCTTGTAGAACTGGTGTGGGTAAACTGAAAAAATGATGCTGCACAGACTGCGACAACCAGGATGGATCATCAGGTACAGTGCTGGTGGAAGAGTCTCCTTTGGATCGGGGGCATCCCAAAGCCTCTGATATACGTGAAAGCATGCTCGAAAGGAAATGAAGACGCAGAGGTTCAATAAATTTACTAAAAGCAAGAAATGGATGATAATAATTGAGGACATTTGTGGCTTGGGGTGAGGATGAGAACGTTCGCTGGTTCGAGCGAAAAATTTAGGCTGCAAACATTTCATCGCCGAGCTAGGTAACATTGTCAGTGTAACTTCAAGAAAAGATGTTATAACAGAAGAAATGAGATAATCATCAGATCATTATCACACTTGGCTGCGAAGCGGATTCTACGCTACTATACAGTTACAAGAGTCCACCGATGAGGGGTAATGATAAAATGATGAAGGGGGCAGCGTGAAAATTAAAGAGATCGAGTAGCCATTCCGAAGCAAGATGCCTTATCTTAGTCAACAACACCCGATCACAAACAACTGCATATCGTAAGAGGATAAAAGTTACATCGGTGAAACAGACACCGCCTGAGACTGTTCTTTGTTCACTTCAAACTCAAGCCTACTCCACAGACCATGACTGCATGGTTCGCGTGGGTGTCAGTTCGAAGAATGGTCGGACAGCGACTTCATTTCACGCTGCCAGACTAGTGACTGCTTCCCGTCATTATTACCCCGTCCTAGATCAAAAAATAAAACTCATTTCGGCAAGAACAGGCCGGTTAGTTGTAACATGCGTTCGAGCAAACGCAACTTATTCAGCCTAAGTTGCTAAACCAAAGAACGGACCATATCATCCCGTGTGCGGACAAATTGGTGCAACCCTCCAACATCAATAGTCTGTGAAACGATCAAATATATCAAAACGTCTCAAGTCATCAGACTGAATGAACCACGTCTCACCACCACAGAGTAAAACGGCCTCCACCGTGATCCGGTAAACATGACGTACAAGTCAGAGAGAAAAGTCCTAGCTCGTGGGGCTAACTGCTGTCCTCTGCACTGTTTGTAACTGACATGGCAGTGGAAGATGTGCCGGGATATATCATGGTTGACTGTCAATCATGCAGGTCGGCGGCCGTCACCCATGGCTTAGTGGCACAAGTTGCTGGCATCCGGAAGCCATGGGGTCGGAACCCCGCAGGGTCGGAGGAAGGCGCACCACGGACAAGACCCGGAAGGTTGAAACAGCGCTGCCTGGTGCTTTTCTAGACGTGCCAAAGGCTGCTGACTGAGAGTGGACTGTGATGAAATACCTCTAAATCCAAGAGGAATTCGCTTCCGAGACCAATGGTAATTTAGAACCATGAGAAAAGTTCTAAAGTTTGAAACCAAGGGGTCTATTTGAACTGTTATACGTCTATCGCTGCGAATACAAGTAAGAAGATAGACGAATTATCAACTACGTAAGATTCGATGTTACCAAGAGTAAAAATGTAAGCAAGTGGCTGGTTGCTGTGTAAAAGTACGGTCCCTGAAGGTAGAAGCTGTAAACCAAATTACAAAACCATGTTGCATAGTCCGGCCAGAGTTGATTCGCTCGGCTCATGGCAGTCAAATAGGAAGACGGGGTCGTCCACGCGATTTAGACCAATCAGATTTATCAGGGCAGCGTCCTCAATAATCCGTGACAGATCCCAAGCTGAAATTGAGCACAAATAAGACATTTCTGGTGGACGTCACTTGTCATCGAAAAAGTGCTCGACATTTCGTCATAGACTCATGCTCAGCCGATGGTGTTCGAGTACATGTTTCTTGGGAACATCTTTCCCAGCAAATATGTCGAAAAAAGCAAGGCGATAAACTGGAACATACCAAAAGCATCGGCCTGTGATATATGTAAAATTATTTAACACCGTACAGCCCCATCAAGGGTGGAAATCGACTCGCACATTTCTCATCCGGGATTCCCGTTTCACAGTAAAGCAGCAAACGGAAGCATAAAGTAATTAGTTTGCTAGTACCGCTGTTAGGCAGGTATTTCTGTGCTTAGAACAAACAGTGCGAGTATCCTCAAATTTACCCAACAGAAGCAAATAGCTTCAGTTAGCTGTATCGGCGCAAATAAGTGGGACAGGACAACAGAAGAATTCGCCACCGTTCATAAATAGTGTGGGTGAGAGAACCCAAACCGGTACTGCAAAAATGATTGAGGACTGTGATCGCGTTCCGAACTTTAATCAAGAGTATATCTGGTAGGGATACAGGTGGCAACCACGAACAAACAGCATTTAGCGACACTCCGCGAACGAATCTAGTTGAGATTGGCAAGCGGATTGCACACAAGCAACTGCTCACGGCAATCCAAACAGCTGACGACAACCCTGGAGTTTGGAAAGGTGCAACTCTAGCTTGACCTCTGGATACTGTATCACGGTGTCGCGGTGCATGTAACCAAGAAGTAAAGTACAAGTTGGATGCAGTCAATTGGAAAGACGCGCGAGCACTATTGATCGGTAGATAAGAAAAGTGGAATACGTCGACATCTGTAATGTCCACTATGTGCGCAGATACAGCCTGTTAGTCCACCTGTCTTGAAGTACGAAGGTTGGACTCCGCTGGAAAAACAGGGTAGAGTCGCTTGATAAGACATCCGCAATATGTCGGCACGCTGTACTGATGGTTCGCTCCCACGCTACCACAACCAGTCGAGCGTGGGCTGGGTATAACGCGATTTCGCTGGCATCTACAATGATAGCGTGGTCTGATAAGGGAATGAAAATGATCGGGATCCGATGGGTACTGCGAGGTAGTAGATGCAGATAGTAGAACTCCAGTGCCGCTGCAGCTGCGGGAGTAAGTCTGAGAAGATAGATCGGAAATTGGGTAACAGGAAAAGGTGGAAAAAGAAGAAGTAAAATATGATCGGTTGTCTATTCTAGCTTGTCCACCCGTCTGTGGACAATAGCGAAAGCAACCCCAATGGAAATGCGTGTCGGCCGGTAGTCTGGAGGATTGTACGACTGCAGTGTACTCCTGAGTTAGCCGGTTCGAATCGCGTAGATGCATGTGACCTCCCCGTATGCTCAGCCCACGCACAACTGATGAAAATCGGGTAACAGTGAAGCGCCGGTATGCTATGACGGCATATTGTTGTTGGTTTTCTTTTACTCCCTTCTTGAAAGTTCTTTACAGCTGATGCAGTATGAGGCTAGAGAAGTCAAGATTATATGCGGACTGGGATAGTGTCGGCATGTTCATGCAAAGCCGCCATCAAAATAGCGAACTTGCAAGGCAGTGTGGACAAAGAAAGCATTCACAAGATGAGAGTAAATTTACATAAGTGCAATCCCAGTTCTAATCTACAATCTGGAAGGTCGATAAGCTCAATTAACCTGATCAGCAACCAGTGACTAATCTGGAGTAGATCCTAAGACACCCGAGGATACCGTTCAATTTAGCACAGTAAATTGATGTATGCAACCTGTCGTACCAAGTTAATATTTTGGTAGTTTCAATTGACTAGGATAAGTGGACTCATTGAAGAAAGAAAGTTTACACATTAGAGATGAGAAATGTTATTATGATATTGAAACACTGTGCACCGGAACAGAATGCGAATTGAGTGTCGTAACGATTCACGTATCAAGTGAAAATTTGGGCCAATGTGGTGGTTAAGCGCTCCTAGATGATAAGTCGTGCTGGGTTCCAACGTCAAAGCTGGGAACAATGCACAGTTGCTTGTTGAGACTGCGGGGCAGGATACGGAAAGGTTAAGCAGAAGTTACACTGTATGGGTAAGATAATGGATCATTTCCTGGTGGCTGAACAAAGAAATATTAACCAATGGACCGAAGTCACAGCATTTGGAAACAAGAGAATAGTTGCAAGCGCACCGTCACCATGATTAGCATTATTACACGTTAGCTAAAGGTGAGAAAGTTCAAGTTCGAGTGGGAGTGGAACAGTAGGAATTTGCTATGTAGATTTCTTCTTGAGTGCGTCGTTGAGCCATGATATCTGTCGATGGTAACATCTGAAAGCTAGAAGAGCCAAAACATCACGCGAGAATCACACCACGGTCAACCGTTTAATGTCCACGTGACTTGAACTAACAGTCCCCGCTGCGCCAGTCATGTAAAAAATTCGAAGTAACAGGAGTGCGGAAATAAGTAGTAGAGAAGTAATAATAACGAAAAAAGTAGGAGTAAAATTTAGGAAGTAAAAGGGAACATTTGGAGCTGCAATTCAAAGGCATCGGGTCTAAGCTCATACGCTTTTACTGTTTGTGATGATATCATGCCCCCAGAGAAAGCATTCCAAGTATCAACTACTCTACGTGGTAGTCGAACGTTGGTCCAAACTCTATCGGATAATGGTTTATTAAACTTCAACGAATGACCGAGGAAAAATGAAAGCAGAGTTGGCTTGGGAAGCAAAGCCAAATCAGGGCCAATCTTCCTTGTCACTAGGCGATAGGTAAGAATCAAGTCGCCACGAAGTCGGCGATAGTGTAGCGATAACATTCCGAGCTTAGGGAGTCGCTCGAGATATGGCGGTGTCGTAGTGCCTAAACCATTTTGATGTCAACTTTAAAGACCAACTTCACTGGCATCCTATCACGAACCAAGCATGGTGGATAAGCTTGGGAGTAATATTTGAGGCGTAACTTAACGAAGGTTGAGAACAATCTAGTAAACATTTCTGGTGTAATGACTCCGGCTGATCTGTAGATCATTCAAAGAACTCTAAAACCTATGCCAGAAGCTTTCTTCCAGCATTCATTGGACTTGGAATCGGATAACAGAACAACATCCAGGTTAACCAATTGGAAAACCTGAAGTTACTCATTCCTTCCAAGCACATAAATTATGGAGAGATCAGTAGACCCTAGTCGTAGTACCGAACACTTGTAATAATTAATATGTAGTTGCCCCAGAATATACCAGTCCAGAAAGCTATCAAGGGCCTGTTGTAAATCTTGGGGACCCATAGTCACTGGACACCAGAAGTTCAAGTCATCGGCCCATATATGTCACTTGCGAAGGTTTCGCGCTTCTCGATAGCGCCTAAAAGTGTCACTGGGCCGCAATGCGAAAAAGAGATGTATGAAAATAGTAAGATACAACACATCACATAATAAATAAAAAAATCAAAAGTAGGTAATATAATAGTGACATATTAC